GTAAAGTCATTAGCAAATAAGGTTGGGCAATCACAAATAAAATAGGTCATACTGTTTAAAGAATAAATTTGTTTTTAGGAAGAAACTAGTTTACCTGATTTTATATAAGCAAATGGCAATTTGATAATGCTACCCTAAATTGTTTAAATGCAGTCCTGGAAATTAAATGACAAGTTTTTATTTAATCTGTCATAAAAAAAATTTCTGTTATGATGAATTTATCTATCTTAAGGGGATGATAGGAGAGGTATAAGTAACCCAAGACAAAGTAAATTTTAAAAGAGTATTATTTGGGGCTGGCAGGTGGCATGGTGGTTGAGGCACTGAACTCCCACATGACTGGCCATGGTTTGAGTCCTGGACCTGATGGTTTGCATTCTCGCTCTCCCTCTCTCTCTGGTCAAATTGAATAATAATAATAATAAATAAAGTAAAATAAATAAATTTTTTAAAAGAGCATCATTAGAGTTTGGACATTTACCAATATATAGAGACTTTACCAAGACTTTCCCCAATAAATAAGGGGGAAGAAAAAGGGAAAGGAGCTCTCTTTGTGAGTTAGACTTTAAGATAATGAAAGATAGTAGCAGAAATAAGCAGTCACTTTTAAAAATTATTTTTTCTTTCTCTCTCTCTCTTTTTTTTTTTTTTTGAGAGGTTTTTGCTATAGGGTGCGTGCACTCGCCAGAAAGACAGAGAGAGACAGAGTGACAGAAAGTGAGAAATCACCCCCCAGGGGGAATGGCCATGCTGCAATTCCTTCTCCTCCTCTCCTCTCAGGATCTTGGGCACGCACGCACATGTGCTGGCGTGAGTTTAAGCCACTGGGTCTGGGACTTGAATCACAGTCAACTACATGGGAGTCCAGCGATATAACCCTTACCCCAACTGCTAGTCCCCAAAATTATTTATTATGAATTTTTTAAATTTGACCAGAGACAAGGAGAGAGAGAGAGAGAAAGCAAGTTGCCAGGTCCAGGACTTGAACCACTGTCAGCCATATGGGAGTACAGTGCCTCAACCATAATACCACTTGCCAGCCCTAGCAGTTACTTTTAAAAAATAATTAATTGTATTTTATTTATTGTTATTTTTTAAATTTTACAGGAGAAAGAGAGAGAAAGTGAGAAAGCAAGCTGTCAATTCCAGGACTAGAACTGAGGTAGGCATGTGGGAGTCCAGAGCCTTAACCACCATGCTACCTGATGGCTCCAAAAACAGTTACCTTTTAAAAAATTATTACAAACTAACCTACTAATGCAGAACATAGAAACAAAGTGGAAAATCTTTTTTTTAATTTTTTTTTTTTTGCTATCGAGTACGTGAGCTCACCAGAGAGAAAGACAGAGAGAAAGAGATAGAGGGAAAGTGAGAAGTCATACTCCTGTGGGGACCAGCAGTTACTGTAATGGCCATGTCGCTGGACTCCCATGTAGCCAACAGCGGTTTGAGTCCTGGACCCGGTGGCTTAAACTCACGCCAGGCACGTATGCGCACGTGCCCAAGATCCCGAGGGAAGAATGGAGGAGAAGGGATTGTGGCGTGGCCATTCCCCCTGAGGGGTGATTTCTCGCTTTCTGTCTCCCTGTCTCTCTCTTTCTTTTTTTCTTTTTTTGAGAAGTTTTCGCTATAGGGCGTGTGTGCTTGCCAGACAGAGAGAGACATAGAGACAGAAAGCGAGAAATCATCCCCTAGGGGGGATGGTCACGCCGCAATCCCTTCTCCTCCACTCTCCTCTCGGGATCTTGGGCACGCACGTACACACGCCCGGCGTGAGTTTTAAGCCACCGGGTCCGGGACGTGAACCGCGGTCAACCACGTGGGAGTCCAGTGACATAGCCATTATGCTAACTGCTGGTTCCCTCTCTCTGTCTTTCTTGAAAGCGCACGCGCCCTATAGCGAAAACCTCTCCAAAAAAATAAGAAAGAAAGAAAAAATAAAGAAATCACACCCCTAGGGAGATGACCACACTGCAATCCCTTCTCCTCCAAGTCTCCTCTCAGGATTTTGGGCATGCACACACACATATTCCTGGCATGATTTTCAAGCTGCTGAGTCCAAAACTCAAACCATGTAGGCTAGGTGGGAACCTGTGCCTTAACCAGCACATCACCTGGTGGCCCATGAAGAATCATTTTTATAATAAAACATGCCCAACAGTCCAGACAGTGGTGAATGGTCAGCTTGCTGTGGTAAGATGATACTGGCCTGGACACAGCACAAATGTGGGTGACATCTCACATCCAGTTCCTTATGGATCCACCTTGGCTCTTCTCCTATGCCTTCTTTTGGAGTTGTACCTGATTTTATTATCAGTTTTCACTCAAATCTACCAGGGAATGGGATGATACTGCTTTTGTTTCTTGGCCAGAATCACTTGACCCTAAAAAACTTGTGTGAAGACATGGAACTGTCCACATGCACCACAAGGTAAAGAAAGGAAGAGAGAGAAAAAAAGAAAGAGCCAAAATCACCTTTAAAGGACAAACAGGCTGACTGAACTGTAACTTGATTTTTATTAAAGGAATATTGCTAAGAGGTTTGGGTAACCATGGAAACAGAGAAAGGAGCATACAAGAGCACTTGAGGGACAGTGGACATTCAAGTGCTGCCAAGGAGAGGTGCTCAAACTAACAGCACAGCAGGGTATCTCTACGCACAGTAGGGTGTCTCTACCGTATAGAAGATCAATGCAGAAAATTGCAACTGTTAGAAATTAAGTATTTCTATCTCTGGGACAAAATCAACCTGCTGTGGAGATAGATGAATCAAGAAAAGTCTGTACATTTAACTTCCTTTATTCTGAATTTGTGCTCATCAGCAACTTTCTGATAAAGCCTTTGGGTTTCCTGGGAAAATTTAGCTCCATAGAAAATGAACCATATCCAGCTGTAGGGGGCGCAGAGGCAGTGCAACACTCCACAGTGCTGGAAGCCATATGAAAGGTCAGAGTTTGGTTCTTGGGTCAACTTATACACACTAGGCACCATGATCTTGGTTACCTGGGAAGGCTGCTGGGGTGTGGGGATTGCAACATGAGACCCTACTATGGGGTGCTTCTCTCTCTTTCTCTCTGTCAAATAAATAATTAAAAAAATGCATTTGGAAGGCTGGCCCTATAGTATAGTGGTTAAGGGAGGTGGACCTCACATGACCAACTGTGGTGTAAGTCCTGGCCTTGGCAACTTAAAAAACATACTGGGTGCTTATGTATACATGCCAAAATCCTAATAGGATGGAAAAATGGAGGAGAAGGGATTGTAGTATGACCATGCCCCATTGGGGGAGCGATCTTCCTCTCTTTCTCCCTGTCTCTGTCTCTAGTGAGCACATTTGCCCTTTGTCAACTCAAAAACTACACTGACTTTGCAGTTGTGAGTACTCAGGTATATGAATTATAGGTCTTGGAATTTAATAAATTAATAAGTTAGTCTTCTGTTTGTATATGTCAGTCTCATGACTTTTGTTTGCTGGAGGTTTATTCCATTGCTCAAATTTAAGATTTCTGAGACCAGGACACTTTAGGTCAGATCCTAGAAGGTTGTAAGAAGTTCATCCAAGTGATGCTTCCCTGCCCCATTGGGGATAGCCAGGAGGCTTTCCTCTGTCAATGACCCTGTGTCAAGGAGCCAAGCTTTTCCATTTCAACTGACCATCAACATCGATGTGGAGGTCTATGTCTATTATTTATCTCTTTATTTTTTTGAGAGATTTTTTGCTGGAGGGTGTGTGTGCTCCTTGGAGAGACAGGGAGTGAGAAATAACTCCCAGGGGGAATGGCCACACCACAATCCCTTCTTCATTCTCCTCCCGGGATCTTAGGCACACACACACACACACACACACACACACACACATGCCTAGTGTGATTTTGAAGCCACCAGGTCTGGTATTCAAACCACGGTCAGTCACATGGGAGTCCCGCAACATAACCGCTACACCATCTGCTGGTTGCCTTTCATTATTCATTCTAATATCACCACAATTCAATTCCATGAGCACACTCCAGCTACTGGTGGGGAAGACAGCTCATAGCAGAACAGGTAGCAAGGAATACTTAGGTTTAAAATATACCACATGGGCTGGCCCCAAAGCTTAGTAACTAAAGAGAGCCGAATCCCACATGCTAACCACATCCAAATCCTGGCTCTGGCGATATGAAATACAAGTGGGTGTAATACCTGAATGTGCCCCAAATTCTGACAGGCTGAGGAATGAAGGAGAATGGATTGCAGCATGATCTGGCTCCACTGGGAGGTGCTTTCTCTCCCTCTCTTTCTTTGGCAAGTGCAAAAGCCCTCTGGTAATTAAGAAAAAATACAGTGAGATTAAAAATACCATAGATAGTTCACAAAATGGCTGAAAGTGACCATTTGGTACATGTCCCCCACTGTTCAGACACACCATCATCACGATCGATCCTTGCGCCTAACTGGCAGATAGCGGCCCTAGTTACTATGGCTTGTTAACAACCCAGCATGGGTGACTCTTACTATCTGTCTTTCCCACAGCTGTACCAAAGAGCAGAATGCTGCTGGGAAAATCATGAAGTAAACGTTATGGCTTATTTTACCTCCATGATGACAAACCTCCCAAGTGCTCTCAGCAAGGCATGCCAATCCTACTACATTACTCACACTAGATTTGCTTCCTCACTGAGAGAACTTCTGAATCCTCAAACTCCTACACGCCCAGCTCTCTCAGCCTTCCCCCTGCCTCGCCGGGCACATACTGCCAAGCTGCTGGGTGATCCAATTTACACCCACCCACCCGATACGCGGTGCTCATTTCACTGAGGCACGCAGACGTTCATCCGTAGTCAACGGTCGGATCCGCAACGCGAGTTGGTGGCAGGCACTCCCTCACACCAGAAGGAGGCGCCGTCACCCTCCTCCGTAGCCGGCGGCCGCCGAGAGGTCACGTGCTCCGGCCGTCTCCGCGCTGGAGGTCCGCCTTGCGAAGGGTCGCCGACGTGCGTAGCGTGGTGACGCAGTACGTAGGGGCTGGCTGGCCGCCATCTTGCTTCTTTTTCTCGCTCGCTCTGAGCCTCTAGGGAAGCAGGGAAAGTGCCCTGGCGGTTTATCGGTCCGCAGTCTCGGCTCCTCGAGCCCGGTGGCCTTTCCAGCCGGCCCACTGGCACCAGCGTCCCCTCCCCGTTCCCCTGGCCAGAGCTTGGCGGAGGCCCTCGGCGTGCGCAGACTCGACCCTCCTCCTGGCCGGTAAGTAATGCGTGGGACCGGGGCCGCGATCGCAGAGGCCCGCTGGAAAGGACCGGACGCTGGGAGCCAGGGCGCCGGGAAGGTCCGAAACTCGGGGCCGGTGCCTGTGGACGGGCCAGGATGCTGGGGGCCGGTGGGGTCCGGGCAGCAGGCCCGGGCGCCGGACACCCGGGCGTGTGCAGGGCTTGGGCCCGGCATCACCCTTCTGTTTGGGTGCCGAATCCTGAGTCCGGGAGCGGGAAGGCGTAGTCAGATCCGCCCCGCGTGGTCTGCAGCGGGCGCTCCTTGCGGTGGGGCTTCCTCCCGCCCAGGCCTTGCAACCCGGTTCTCGGAGGGAGTTTTCATTCTGCTGGCCTGACGGGCACAGGGTATTTTTCTGGGGTGGTGGTGGGGGAGTTTGTTCCCCAGACAACAAACACAGGAGCCCAGACAGGGCCTTTGCTGTCCACGCTTCCGTGTGCAACGAGCCGTGTGGGAGAGTCCGGGTTAGAGACTTGATTCGGTGAGAGGCCCTTCGGGGAATCTGGTCCAACCCTACTTCCGCTGGGACTTGCTGCCCAACTCCGAAGAAGGATCGGGTTGTCTTTCCACCTTCCAGGCCGCTCCATTCCCTGACTTGAGCGATGAACCCCACTTGGCAGACCCCAGGCTTTGGTATTATTGATGTCGGGGTTAAGACCCGCTTTAGGACTGAAAGAAAAAAGGGCCTGGAGGCCAACAGGGGCTTTGATGGAACTGTCTTTCTCATGGGAAGATTGCGTCTGATTGCTTTAAAGGCGTGTATATTTGGACTTGATCAGAGATCTTTTGAGTTCTGACATGCCTGATGTATCTGGCTTCTAAAGCCCTCGACTTCTGCACTGGCCAGTCTTTAGCCTCGGTTCATAGATTCATACCTCGTTAGGGTCTATGGAATTGTGCAGTAGGCAGCCCTGGTGTAAGGATTTCATTTAGAATGCACCAGAAAAAACGAAGGATTCTGTTTAAGTGGTTGGGAGCTTACTCCTGCAGATAAAAAATGATGATGGTACTAAGCGCCCACCAAACCTAACAATGGCATTTTTAAAAAGTAGATTTAACCTCCCATATTGGTAATTAAGATGCTGCTTTCACTGGAGCCATTTTTTAGGTGTGTGTCACAGATGCACTGCAGCATATTTTCTGACTCACCCCAAATGCATTGATCCTCTAAAATGTTAGGAATAGATTGGCTTTGTAAATAATCTGTATGTTCTCAGAATAGTATATATATTTCTTTGGATCCTTAGTTTTTCTTCTTGCTCCCTCTCTTCACATTTACTTGCTGGGTTTTGTTTCTTGAAGATTTTTTTCATGTGACACAGCTTGAAATAAAGTAATTCTGCTCTGTAATGGAATTTCAGAATGTATGAGAAGTTTATTTGGAAAGAGGGTTTCTGGTGAGTTTATGTATGTGCCTTTCTCTCTTCATCAGCTGACCTTTTACCATGTACTGAACATGGTCATAAATCCTTTCCATACTTTCCATACATCCTTGTTCTCCTAAAACAAGTGTTCAAGGGAGGTACCATTTTCATCATTTTACAGATATGGAAATGAAATGGGAGTGAGGTCACACACAGTAGTTGGTAGTACTGTGTGCCTTCAAACCTTACTACTAAATCCAAAGGAGATGCTCTAAGCCATCAAACTACCTCCTGTTCCTTGTGATTTTATAAAGTGTAATGACTATAATAAATAAGATAGAGCACTGTTAACTGGTCCTTTAGCTTGACATCATTATCTGAACATTGTTGCCTGTAAAGGTTAACATGTTGCAAGTGATGGGTTATATCTACTTTGGGGGTGGAGTAGAAGCTAATTTCTGTGTGTCATTTTCTATTAGAGGATAATTAGATGCCAATTGAGTGCTTATAGGAAATTTAAAACTCTAATCTACATTATTATGTATCATTTTTAAATTTTGAGATCTGGCCTATATTATTGGGACAATATCCTCCCATCAGGAAAATGGAGATGGTGACAATAATAACACCTCCCTCAAAAGCTTGTTAGAAGAGTAAAAAATATATATAAACAACTTATTACTATGCCCAGTACATGGTAAAAGACTAATAATGGAGAATGGTAGAGTATTGGCTAAAGAAAATAGTGTTGTAAGTAGTAATCTACATGTTCTCAGAATGGTGTATATATTTCTTTGGGTAGTTTTTCTTCTCTTTGTATTTACATGCTGGGTTTTGTTCTTAAAGATTTCTTCATGTGATACAATAAATATCCCTGGAATTAGTATCTTACTCACAGCTCAAAATATAGAAGTTCTGGCTCATTCCAGTCCTGTTTTCCTCCTCTGTACCCTAAACCCACCTGTCCTGCTGATAAAACATTTTGAAGATTATGTCTCCCTCACCCTTTCAGTGTGGTTCTCCAGCCCTAGAAGCACTCCTTGAATTTGTAAGTCTGTTGGGTAACTTGTGTTTTGCATGCTATTATATCTCGTATTTGTGAAAGACAAGGATTGATCACTGATAAAATGTTAACATAAACTGCTACAGAACCACATTCTTACATGAGGGAGATCCAAAAATTGTCTCACTGCGTTATGACTAACATACTTTCATTTCAGTAAAGCAAGATTCATGATTTTATGAATAGGAAATACAGTGAAAGCTTATCTTAGTTTATGCTAATTGTTACTTTTAAGTCTTGAGAGTTAATATATTTCTTTTCTGAGTCATAACATTTAAAATTCTTCAATGGCACCATTAATGCATCAGTCAGAACATTTTTGTGGACAAAAGTATTCTATAGAGAGTAACTTTATTAAATATTTTATTGTATATTTTCCCCCTAGAAAGGATAAATAGAAGTCTTTCTTCTTGGCAGTTATATTTCAAGTCCTTATTTTGCTCTAGATGAACAGAATGTCAGTCATGTTTTTGGACATGTGCCTGCATGTACTTGCTGGCAAATCCAATCAAACAAGCGCTATTACTGAGTTCCAACAGGAAAGTTTTCTGGTTGGCAAATGCTATCCATGAGTCTGAACACAAGACACCTATGAAATCATTGCTGTTAATGTGAGGTACTCGCCCTTGCAAGGTGCTGCTGGGTGCTCGATATTACAGGAGGAGGAGATACAATCGATATTTGTGGAGTCTGGCATTAAAAAATACTATTAAGTGTCATGTACCTAGCATACTGTCTACTAATGTCTGTATTCAATTCTGTGTTCTTATATGACTCTTTTTCTTTAATAGTTTCCATGTCCTTATTCCCTTGTATGGTGGCTGGCATATACACTGGGTTTGTTAAATATTACTGAGTGGATGAGAATTGACAGCACCAAAGAATAGATTCACAACTAAGGTTAACTGATGAGTGTCTTACTGGAACGAAAGAATACTCTGTTTTACACTCTTGAGTATGTAACAGATAACATTTAAAGAGTTTATTTTTATATATAATACACAATATGATGCTCATTTGCATCAGATTTTCCTTAATTTTTAGCTTTACTCAACAAACATTAAAGATCTTTTTGTTTATTTATTTATTTATTTGGAGAGATTTTTGCTATAGGGCACATGCACTTGCCAGAGAGATAGGAGAGACAGAAAGTGAGAAATCACCCCCTAGAGGAGATGGCCATGCCACAATACCTTCTCCTCCAGTCTCCTCTAAAGATTTTGGGCACACATGCACACACACCTAGCGTGTTTCAAGCCACTGGGTCTGGGACTTGAACTGCACTTAGACATGGGGGAGACCAGTGACATAACCATTTTGCCATCTGCTGGTCTCAAATGTCATTTTAATTTTGTAAGGCCTAGTGAATCAAAGGAGTGTAACTTTTGTTTCCCACTGACAAGATGGTCACAGTCTTAAGGACTGATTAATAAAGGTTATCTTGTCTTTTTTTTTTAAAGTGGTTTTTGCTATAGGGCACATGCACTCACCAAGAGAGACAGAGATAGTGAGAGGGAAGGGAGGGAAGGTGGGAAATCACCCTCTAGAGGGATGACCATCCCAATCTCTTCTCCTTTCTCCTTCTGGGATTTTGGGCACGCACACATGCCCAGTGTAAGTTTTAAGCCCAGATCCTGGATTTGAGCCATAATCAGCCACATTGGAGTCCAGCGCCTTAACCACCACGCCACCTGCTGACCCCTTTCTTGTAATTTTTTTATTCATGTGAGAAAATTCAAAACAAATGTGTTGAAGAAGTTAAGGGAAATTCATTTCAGAGAAACCCATATACAGGAAAATAATAGTAAAAATCAAGTGCCCAGTTTATAATCCGTGCATGTATGAGGGCTGAGAGATCAAGGGTGATTGTAATTACTGTTCATTCAACACTTACCCTGTCAGTCTGTGAATATTCTGTGGATTATCTCTTTATAGCCATATATTGTAATAGGAAGTAAATTATCCCTGTAACACTGTAGAAAACTGAGAAAAAGGAGATTTTAGTAATTTTTTCAGGGTTACTTAGCTAGAAGGTAACAGAAGTAGTATTTAAACCATTGACCCAGAGTTTGAGTGTTTCGTGTAACTACATGGTTTTTAGTAAGCAATATTTCCCAAACTTAAGTCATTCACAACTTTTGCTTTATCTTTAAACCAAGTTTACTTGTCTTTTAATTAAGAGAATTTAAGAGGAAAATTTCCTCCTCTTTTCCTTTGGGTCCTCCTCCCAGCATGTTTTACAATAAACATGTAATTTTATGGCCAAACTGTGGTGGCACATGTGATAGAGTAGCACTATGCAATACCAGGGCCATGTAGGAAAGTCTGGGGCTCAGATCCCAGGTTGACCTGAACATGCCAGGTGCTCCTGTGATTCTGTCTGGCTAGATAGGTTGTGTGTGTGCACGGGAGGGTCGTTACAGCATGGCGTGGCCCTGTGTATATATGGCGAGGGAGTTCCTCTGTGTGCACGTGTGTGGGGGGATAGGGGGTGCATTAGAAAATAAATAAATACATGTATTTATATATCATCTAGCATACCACCAATCTTC